ATCCACATCCCCCTCTCCAGCCTTCCAACCCTGGTCCCGCCTCGAAAGCCTAGCAATACACCACCGTCTCCTTTCAACATACACAGACACACGCTCCAGACCACAAGAGCTGGAACGAACAAGCAAAACCAATCGCGGATGGTGGGTTGTCTGGGTACGCATCCCACAAACACCCAACCAACAAACCTCACTATCAACCACATCTTCATCCGTTGCCCTCTCATCTCTGACGAACGAAGATGATCCCTTCACTGCTACCCCCTCTCCACCTCCCCAGGAAGCATTCCTCGTCCGCAAAGCGAGCGACTACGTCTCACCCGCTACACACGGTCGTGTCAGTAGTGGCGCTCGCTTTTTCCGGGATTTAGGTGGTGCTTCTGGCTCTTCGGGGTTGACGGGGACTTCTCGTACGGCGGATATGGCGCCGTCGAAGTTGGTTGAAGGGTTGGGTATGGATGCTAGGCGGTATATTGAGGGATTGTTAAGTTTGAATCGGTAGTTTGGTAATGTGTGCTGGTTTTATGCGGGATATATACATGTATACAGCTATGCTCTGCTCACTGATATACCTTTTCTGTTGAAATACTTTGTTCCTTTATATGATATGCGCAATCCAGTTCTATCGCTTAGGGGCGGTTTGAACACTGACTACTGTAGTGGGCAACAGTCCATGGTTCATATCGCGTGAATGGGGTATTCATTGTCGGGTTTACGGTGCTATTTGCACCAGGATTCTACGCAGGACTGGTCGGAGATTAAAGATGGAAAAGCAGTTGATGGATTAGCTGTAAAAGTATAGTAAACGGGGAAACAACAAAGCCGAGTCAAGCTCATCGCATGTGGGAGATATCCGCAGAGAATCATCTATCATGAGAGGGGAAATTCGACCAGGAAGGCGAAATCACAGCGTTGACCGAGTTGCAAATCGCAAGGGGCACGAATGCTACAACCACGGGCTCCTCTTTCTTAGCTTTGGTTTCTACTGCCAATCAACGTAGCATGTTGGCATTTGAAAATTCACGGCAGTCGGAGAGAGGATAAGAAAAAGAAAGGCCCACAGGGTTATGATGAAGACAACGCCTCCCTAGACAAATTCTGCAAAACAAAGGCAAAAGGAAAAGAAAAAAACACAAGGTCGACCAAGTGAATGGTGGAAGAATTTCCACGACTCGCTGTGCCCGGATTCGATATTATCCACAATCTCACATGTAGGCTCGAGTAGCCCCCCTCCTTTCTGAGAGAATAAAGTCACCAACTGTTTCCGTGGAGGCTCTCATCCTTGAATATGATCTCCGCTCGAGCCCGACCACCCAACGATTGATTTAGTTTACAGAATGAGGCAGCCTCCCTTCTTACGGCCACCCTTGCCCTTCTGGGCCTTCAGGAGAGCAGCGCGGGTGGCAGCCTCGAAAACTTCGCGGACACCCTCGTTGGTGCGGGCAGAGCACTCGAGGTACTTGTAGGCACCGATCTTCTTGCGGACCTCCTCACCCTGTACTGTGTTAGATTTGTTCACCTGACCATGGGGGAGAGAAACGCACCTGCTCAGCGGAGACGGGGCGCTGGGAGGTCTTGGCGAGCTCATCAATAGTCTTGCGGTCATCGCGCAGATCCTTCTTACAACCAACCAGGATAATGGGGAGACCCTGGCAGAAGTGCAGAACCTCGGAAATCCACTAATGAGCCGCGTCAGCATATCCGGATCACTCACTATCCAGGCAGCGTTGCAACTGGATTCGCTATCGGTTGGAGGTACCCACCTTCTCCTGGACGTTGTCGAGCGAGTCGGGCGAGTCGACGGCGAAACAGATCAGGATAACATGTGAGTCGGGGTATGACAGGGGACGGAGACGGTCGTAATCTTCCTGGCCAGCAGTATCCCAAAGAGCAAGCTCAACGTGCTTGTTGTCGACCTCGACATCGGCGACGTAGTTCTCAAAGACGGTGGGGACGTAGACCTGGTAGTAATGTCAGATCTTCTGTGTTCCTTCATATCGATGCTGTGTAGAATGGAATGGTAACGGGAATCGGGATATCGACGGATGGATGGGAGCTTACCTCGGGGAAGGTGCCCTTGGAGAAAACACTGTAATTCCGTCAGATCGCTGAAACGAGCCCAGGGTTGCAAAAGGCGTCTCTGATGACGCCATTTGAAGACTTACATGAGCAGACAGGTCTTACCGCAGGCACCATCGCCGACGATGACGAGCTTGCGACGGATCTCGGCCATCTTGATAAGAGACGTTAGTATAGGGGGAAATCAGTGAGAAACGTCGCCGAAGCCCCGCAGGTCAGGGAAAAAAAAAAGGACAGGGTGAAGAATGTCAAGCGTGAGGGGGTGACAAGAGACACGAGGAGAGATTTGAGAAAGGGACAAGTTGGAGGAGGGGGGAAAAGGAAAAGGGTGATCCCATACGGTGATTGTAGGCGGAACGGAGTACCTTTCAGGGAAGTGAACCGGCTATTACCCTCAAAGTGGAGAGGAATGAGAAAGATGGAAGCAAGAAAGTCTGATGGAGAGATGGAAAAGACGATGGAGTGATGATTTGGAGGTGGAGAGAAAGATAGAAGACCAGGCCAGACAACAGAGGGCGGTGGCAGTATGGTAAATGTTGTTTTCCCCCTAGAGTGTGTTTTGGTGGTATTTGGTATCTGATACAGGTACTTTACACCCCCTGAGTTTCAGGCAATGTTAGAAAATATAACGTTACTTAGTATGTACTCAAACTCTGTAGAGTACAGTTATGATTTAATGACTTATCCCTTTGCCGTTGAATAGGGATGTGGCTTAGCCAGGAAAAAACCGATCCTTACAGGCCCACTCGCTTTGTTTCCAACACAGCCACCGTGGCTGTAAAGATTAGCTGATATCATATGCCCCGGATCTGATATTATGGGCATTATAGGGGTTAAGTTTATCTTACAGTCTTACATGTCTAGAATTTCACTTTTACATTGTGGCTTTGCAATCTCAGCCTCTTTCACTTTTTAAGACAATGATCTCCACCTGGGCAGCTTCGCAGATGGACTCGAACGTGGACCACTCTATCACAGATAAGTATAACCCTCAGCTCCACCTCATCTACCACCCTACCGGGACGACTGGTGGGCAGTGCCCAGTACTCCGTATGCAGCTGCCTTCACTGCCTAAAGGGCTTGAGTCCTGTGACGATCTAGTTTCTGACGTTGACTCCGGCTTTCGGCTGCGGTGATCTCACACACATGCTATTTGCTATGTAGCCAGGGGTTCCCAGCTCATATGAATGTCTATCTAACTGTGGAATTTTCCATTTCGCGTTCAGGACAAAACTCTAACCCCCTTTCGCTTATTTCCGAGCTTCACGACTTCACACATTCTTGTTGCTTTCCTAAGTGGAGTTCCTTAATTCTCCATATAGCGGCTAAAAATAGTAAAGGGGCTGATCCTGGTTCAATTATTTCCTGAGAATAGGAGCTTAGAGTGAATGTCTCCCTTTAGCGTTCGATAATCCCATATCTACGTACCACTTCTCTACTTCAGAGTAACTAACGCCGTTACACAGCATATTTCTAAAGTACCGGTCCACTTTTTGTGGATTTGTTGGCCTTCAACCCGTCTTTAACCTTGCCAGCAATTGAGCATTTACAATTATCGGTTAGGTTTGCGTAATTTGATTTGTCGCCGGCCATTGGGTCTTCCGTGCCGTCTGGAGACCGTTCCTATACCGATTGCCTAGCTCCTCGGAGCCAGCCCTATCAGACATAGGGCCTTGGGAGTTCGACTGCCTGCCAATTTGGTCATAGTTTTGTTCAATGATGACACATGCATCCTAATTGGTGTGTTTGGTATGAGTCGTTCACTATAGCATCCATTCCCGTGAGTATGCTCACATAGGAGACCATGGTGGTGGCATCAACTGCAGGGTCTGTATAGCATGGCATCATTAATACCAGAAGGAACATAGCACTGGTTGCCGTGCAGATACAGATGTTGACGAGAGATATGTCTGAACTTTAGACACCATTGGTGTACTTGAACCAAACCGGGGCGAACCGAGATATGGAAAACCTGGTCTTTGTCGTCTTAAGGGGTCTCCCTGTCTTTTGAGCTCTGGGCACTCACCAGCAACATTCAACACAATTCGTCTCTATTTACGCCGTCTTGGTGCCATCCATATACTTGCGGCAGAGCTTTCTGACAGCGGGTAATCGAGTCACGTCTCCCTCCTCGTGGGTTGTCATATATCTGCTAGGATCTGACATGGACAGTAGACTAGCTAGAGCAATGAATAAGGTAAAAGAAGAACAAGTAAATTGTAGTGGCGTGGATGCCCCGGTCTAGATATTGCTGATATAAGCCGCTGCGGTCACGTGCCTACAATCCTCAATTTTCGATCCGCGGATCGGGGTTGCAGAGGCCAGTGTCACTGTTCGGCCATTGCTGGACCACAACGCCCAATATGCAAAAGGTTATCCAACGGACGGCTTTGGCCCGGAAGCAGGCTCTACGGAGAACTGTCAAAAACCATGAACGACAAGAATTGATGGACCGTCTTACCATCAGACGGCAACGGAAGGAGTTTGGTGTTGCGCTGTACGGTCAACACAAAGCAGCACGCCAGAACCGTTGGGAGGATTGGGAAAAGGGATCACTTGCTCCTATGCGGGACTCTGGTCTCGAAAGCGGCATTTACGGCGCACTCCCCGGTACTATCCTACACCCTCCGGCCATCCCCAAGCACTTACGTCGGAAGCACATCCTCTTCGCTGAAGGCGACAAGGTTTGTGTTATGCGTGGACGCGATCAGGGCAAGATCAATGTCATTCAACAAGTCAACCGGGACAGTGAAACCGTCATCATCAAGGATATCAACCAGGTACGTCTCGCCGTCCCGCCGTGGACCGCCGTAGACCCGCCGCCCATTCGCCTGATCCCCTAGACTTATTCGCTTATTGATATTCCTTGTATAGTACGACGTGATCATTCCCGAATGGGCCAAGTCGCGACTTGGACACCAGGGCGACACTCAAGCACAAAGCTTCCCCGTGCCCATGGACGACATCCGACACGTCATTCCGCTGGAAGATACAGAGAGTGGAGAGATGAAAATCGTCATTGTCGACCATGCATATGCTGCTGGTCCTTACAACGAGCGCCCACCGCACAGCAAACTCCCGAAACACTCCCGTTATGTTTCTGGTCTGAACATCGAGATCCCTTGGCCAGTTGAGGAGGAGCCTGCAATCACCGATGGAGACATGGATACCCTCCGTGTGGAGGTCGAGACCAGCACATTTGTCCCGACTCTCCGGAAGCCGCCGTTCCCCTCGACTATCATTGATGAGCTGCGCAACAAATATTCCAAGTTCCGTACCCGTCACGATCCTGAGTACTTGCAGGAGAAGATGATGGAAGACTACCGCAAGGAGTACAGGGAAAGTGTCTCTATGATGACACCCAAGACAGATCGCAAGACCCTGGGTACTGCTAGGGCGGCGGAAAGGAGAAAGGCGATGACGGATGAAGATGGAAAGATGCACTTGTCTGAGAAAACTCAGGCGTTCATTAACTCCCACCTCCAGGAGACATGGAAGAACTTGCCAAAGCAGAAAGCCAAGGGGAAAAGGGCACACTTGGGCAAGGAATAATCTGAAGGAGAGAAGAAAGCCTAAAAGAGGTCTGATTGAGGCAGGAAATCAAGAGGGTTGTCCTGTAGCTTTGTGTACACATCACTGTATTTTAGTATCAAGCTTTGCATTCACTATATCTATTCGTTGGAAATGCCATCTCACATTTCTTTGAAAATCGGTCTTCAGTATCGTCCTCACTATCGGGTTTCTATGCGGATACTTCGGGCCGCCTCTCCCTGCGCATCTTCACTCTATCTTCAAACTCTCAACTCCCACCTCCCACCTCCCACCTCCCTGCACTGCTACCGCGAATACAAGCAGTCGCAACAAACATGGCATTCTCCTCAATTAATTCCTCGGGCGTGCCCATTGCCGCCATCGAAGAGGCATTCGCGACAGAGCCCTCATTGAAGAAGAGAGTCTACGATGCGATCGGTGCGTAGCCAACAGCGCACCCAACGTCCACGTTTGGCCGTCGACCTCCTGCTGACCGTCGTCAATCGGTATTATTGTTTAGGAACAACACCGCAGCACCAACCTTTGTTTGAAGATCTTGCGAAACACACCTCCAGCCTGCTGGCCAGGACTGCTAAGACTACCCTCCCTTCTCGGCCCTCGGCCAGTGATGGCCCTGCCGCTAAAAAGCGCAAGCTGCAGAATGGTGACTCGGGTGAGACTGCGCAGGCGTCAGTCGACATGAAGAACGGCGATGCGCCTGTTCAGTTCTACGTTCAAGATGTCTCTTTCGCTACACCGCAGAGGAAAAAGCTCACGCTTGAGATCACTGCTGGGCACCGATTCCTTCGGGCAAGGAACCAAACTACAAAGGAGATTGAATTCGGTGTTTCTATGGACAAGATCCGTGAGTTTGAACCAGTGACGGATCTTCCGGTCTTGGAACAGTTGCTAATCTCTGGTAATTGTGATTAGGACATGCGCTCTGCCTTCCTGTGCCAGAAAAGACTCAGAAACAGTTCAATTTTTGCATCATTCCCGAGTATGCGGATGGCATCACACCCCCACCTGAGGGAACAACAGTCTCCGAAGCTATGGTGTTTACGATAGCCGATGGGCCAGCCAAGGCTGCATTCTCAGGGAATGGGCAGCAGATTGGAAATGGCTCGGGCGAAACGGCCGAGGGACTGCTACGCAAAATCCTGAATGACAACCTGTCTCACACCAATGTTGTGCGCCCCGATGACCGACAGTTTGTCAGTGCCATGCCAGAGGCGCACCGAAAGGGCGAGAAAGCATACCATGTTAAGGCATTCCGCGGCAGCAAAGAAGGTATGTCTTATCCCTATTTCAATGGTGTCTTGGGGCTGGTTTGGCGTATACTAACATATTGCTCTCCGTCAGGCTACCTCTTCCTTCTGTCTACGGGCATTCTGTTCGCGTTCAAGAAACCGCTTCTGTTTTTCTCGTTCGACACCATTGACTCGGTCTCGTACACCTCTGTCCTGCAGCGGACATTCAACCTCAATGTCATGGCTCGCCCAGCAAACAGCACCGAGGAGGACATCCAAGAATTTGAATTTTCAATGGTTGACCAGGATAACTTCTCCGGAATCGACGCGTATATCAAGCGCCACGGTCTTCAAGATGCCAGTCTGGCTGAGGCGCGTCGCGCTAAGGTTTACAACGTGAACAAAACCGGGGAAGATCTAGCAGCACCTACCGCTGAAGGAACCGGGGAAGGTGAAAGCGAGCTCCAGAAAGCCCAGCGCGAGCTTGAGGATCAAGAGGACGAAGAAGAAGAGGACTACGATCCTGGCAGTGACGATAGTGAAGGCAGCGGGTCCAGCAGTGAAGAGGACAGCGAGGAGGAAGAAGAAGAAGCCCAGGACAGTGACGAAGATATGGATCTGGTCAAGAATGAGCTTGGCAGTGAAGCTGAAGATGCTGGAGATGATTAAGTAAAGGGATATAGATATATACTGGACATGTCATATCCGGGGAGTTCGATTGACGGGGATGCCAAGATTGTAATATTACCGCTTGATTAAACGCATTCCAGACCGAGTCCAGACGGGATCTTTTCTCCTGAGAAAAAAAAGCGACAAAAAACGACAAAAATCGACAAAAATGCTTCCCCTGCCCTGATAACTTTCCCTCCAATAAGGACATAAACGCCGTTCGGTGCCTGGCTTCATGCAGGTTGGGCCGATACCGAAGAGGTCTGAGCAGCGAAGGCAAAAGGGTTTCAGCAATCTCCGATAATCCACAGTAAACAGTAAAAAGTAGACAATAACGTTAAGTGAGTAGAAGTTTAGTAGAGTAGAGAGAAAGAAACGAGAGATGGGAGGAAACAATTAAGCCTTGGAAGGTTAACGTCCAACGGCTCAAAGTTACCGCATGTCCCTGGTACCAAATACACCCCCAATACTCTCCGCTCCCTTCTCTTCTTCTCTTCTTCTCCTCCCCCCATTCCCCCTTCTCTCTGGTCTATCCTTGAACCACTGCTCAGTGCGGCTCGTACTCGCAGTAGGTCGAGTACCCTGCGTGCTCTTTTTGCTTCCTTTGTCTTTTCCCTCGGCTTCAATTCCACCCCGTGATCCCCGACCGTCAACCCCCGACGTCAATTCCTGCTCGACATCGTCAATTCCGCTCCTGTCGCTGTTCAAGCACCGGATTACGCCCCGTTTCTCCCTCCTGTCTCGATTGCAGTCCATCTGTACCCCTGTCTCCGATTACACCGTCTCCGGTCCATCGGCTATTCCGCAGATCGCCCTGTCCCATTGAGCGGTGATAGCAGCTTCGGTCGGAAAACAAAAGTCTCCGTGGTGTATGTGATTACATTCCTCTCAAGGCTGTCATCGTTTGCCATTGTTGGTCAACACATTGCTGACTGCGCCCAATGATAGTATCAATCACGTGCCGACGTCCCTGAAGCCAGCCCCGTGATCGAAGGTTTTCTCTTCCCCCGGCTCTACAACCCTGAATACCGCATCCATGGCGTCCTCTTCGTCGAACGTTGTGGGTGTCCACTACCGTGTCGGCAAAAAAATCGGTGAAGGATCTTTTGGTGTCATTTTTGAGGGCACCAACCTCCTGAACAACCAGCAGGTCGCTATCAAATTCGTTCGTGGCCCTCCCGCTCAACACACCAATCCCTAATCTGACCGGAAACAGGAACCCCGGAAGAGCGATGCACCCCAACTCCGTGATGAGTACCGGACATACAAGATCTTGGTTGGATGCCGTAAGTTTTGGAGTCACAGGTCCTGGTGTTCCCTTGCTGACTCTATTTAGCTGGCATTCCCAATGTCTATTACTTCGGCCAGGAGGGTCTGCACAACATCCTCGTTATCGACCTTCTCGGTCCCAGTCTCGAGGATCTCTTTGACCACTGCAACCGCCGGTTCTCCACCAAGACCGTTGTGATGGTGGCAAAGCAGATGGTAGGTTCTTTCCCGGCACAATGTTATCCTGTCGCTAACGACACTAGCTTTCGCGCGTTCAAACTATTCACGAGAAGAACCTCATCTACCGAGATATCAAGCCGGACAACTTCCTTATTGGCCGGCCAGGGACCAAGGCCGCCAATGTCATTCACGTGGTTGATTTCGGTATGGCCAAGCAATACCGTGATCCCAAGACCAAGCAGCACATCCCTTACCGTGAGCGGAAATCTTTGTCCGGTACTGCTCGTTACATGAGTATCAACACACATCTCGGGCGCGAGCAGTCGCGACGTGATGACTTGGAGGCTCTGGGTCATGTGTTCATGTACTTCTTGAGAGGTGGTCTTCCCTGGCAGGGTCTGAAGGCTGCTACAAACAAGCAGAAGTACGAGAAGATTGGCGAGAAGAAGCAAACCACAGCCATCAAGGATCTCTGTGATGGATACCCAGGTATGTTATCCTGTAATCCTCTCCTGTCTCTCTACATTACTAACCATGGCGTCAGAAGAATTCAACAAATACCTGAGCTACGTGCGAAACCTTGGTTTCGAGGACACTCCTGACTACGACTACCTCCGTGATATCTTGACACAAGCTCTCAAGAACGCCGGAGAGGTAGAAGATGGCGAATACGACTGGATGAAGCTGAACAACGGACGGGGCTGGGACTACAAGTCCTATTCATCTCAGGCACATCTCCACAACCAGCACCAGAGCTCAACGGCCCGTGATCACCACGGTCGCGACCTTCGCAACAGCCAACGTCCTGGAGTGACAGCCGACCGTTTAAACGCCGCGCAGCCCCCGCCTCCTTCTCCAGCCAAAGCTGGAGCTGGAAAGACGCGCGAGCGCCAAAGCGCCGGCGGCATGCCGCCCAAGCGTCAGAGCGGGGGGTTGGAAGCGTCGACTCCTGCCGCGTCTACCCAGGCACAGTTCCAGAACTCCAATGCTCACCTGCCCAATCGCCTTGGAAGTTCAGGGAATCAGGCACTGGGCCAACAAGCTCTTGGGGCTCAGGGTAACGACCCGCAGCCTACTTTTGCTCAGAAGGTGATGAAGGTTCTGTGCTGCGGTAGGTGATTCGGCTGTCCCTTATATCGGACAGCCAGCTCATCTCAGCATCCAGGTTGAATTCCAGTCAAATGAAGCGACGGCACATCTAGACTAGCCACGCTCTTGCTCTTCTTCTTGTCTGTCACAAAAGGCCCAGGAAGTCGGCGTGGGTTTTTCTTTTTCTTCTTGTTTCTTTCACCTCTCTTGCTCTTTTCTTGTCTGGCATTAAGTGGTTTAGTGCCGCTTCGCCGGGTAAGAATTGCGCTTCTCGGCCTATATCCCCCTTTGGCCCTCCTTTCTTGTCCCGCTTGGCACTTCAGCCTATACATTTGGCTGTGGGTAGGAACAACCTTTCTCATGATGACGTCCCAACACTCTTTCATGGTGCTACGGCTCGGAGCGGCGAACTTGTGAGATTTTGTCTTGTGTTTTCGTTTTCTTGTTGGTCTCACTATATCCGGCGTGCATCATTTAATATCAAAACTTGGTCATTTGAATACTGCTGATGTTGGCAATTGGTCTGAATCCATTGACTGGCCACTCGCCACCCTAGACCTTGGCCCCCGCGCTGGTCTATTGGTGACAAACAATCTCGTTCAGGAGATATGGTTGAATGGCCAAAAAAAGTACGCTGGAGATGAGCTTCGCTGCCAGGGACGACAAGCAGCGACCATCAAACACACTTCGGCTCATCTTTCGCTGTGTCCGGGATATATCACATGCTTCATTTGGCCCTGTTTATCAACAGGTCAATCCCGCCAGTCATTCTCTCAATGGGTCCTCCGCGCCGTCTTCACAATGACCATGTCTTGTCCTGCTCGCCATTTCCTCCTAATGCGGGTAAAAGAGTTTTCAAGTTTCCTTTCCATTGCATGGTTTTGTTTTCTTGCATGCAGAACCTGAAGAGAGCATGTTGCATATATCCCCTCGTCACTCTTGATCCTGATCTTTTTTTCTCTTCCCATCATACGCCTGCTCCCTCTTTGATTGTTCCAACCTTCCAGATCTATTTGCGCCGTGTCTATAATCGTCTTTTTTTGTTGTTTTCCCCTTGTCTTGCTCTTTCTGTTCCAAGAAGCGAGTTTTTGTTACTGGTAGTTGTGGCATAAGATAGCATTCTTCCTTTTTTTTCATTGGTTCTTGGGTTTGAGTCTTGTGGTCTATCGTATGGCGTATCGTACATACATAATTCTTGTAATATGAACTGCGTTAGTATTCGATCGACTGCGAGCGACAAGTAATTTGTAGATGGGATCTGTTGGGAGGAGACATTTCATGTCGCTGAGTTAAGAACATGATATATGTTTACAGTGTCAGATATCACGCGCAAGGTGTTTGTTTTGCTGCAGATGGTCTTACTTTGAGAAACTTGACGACATTCAAAGCGCAATCTCTGGGAAGTGTCATCAGGCCGTCTCCGATATACAGACATGGCCCTGTACAGTTGAACCACCACAACCTGCGACTTTGTTTCTCTGCCGAGGAAACCTATAAAAGTATCAAAAGCATGGATGTTTTTCCTATATGATCCATCCTATAAGTGAAGACATGTCGCTGCACATCGACCACCTTATCAAACCCATCTCCATCTCACTTCAACTCAAGTACCCAAACCAAGCAAAGGTATATATTAACACAACGGCCTCACTTCAACATCCCCTCAAGCGTACTGTATCTAGTGATCACTGAAGTCCACAACGACATGATCTTCCCACCAAATCTATATCCCAAACCACCACACTCTCCACAATGCACAATGCACACATCTGTGGCAATCACAAGCAACCCAACCGACGCCAGACAAATTAACAACAGAGTACATGTACAGCCACAGCAAACTTTGCAGCACAACATGATACCACGCTAATGCAAGGATCACCAGTCCGTGGCATGTTATAGCATGACGTCGGACCAAAATAGAACCATCACTGTAAAACCAGGTGGAGCAATCTATAGCAGCAAAGACATCGGCCCACCCTTACCTTGTAGGTACTAGTAGACACGGGCCGGAATGCACGCTAGCACATCTAGACAAAAGTCAAGAGACAGACGGCACGTTTCACCACTTTGATATCATCGCACATGAACATAACTGGCGACGCGGCCGGGTGCTAGGCATGTATAGGGTCTAGTACGGGGTTTTCGGATGTGGACGTGCATGACTACCCCAGGTAGGGTAATAGAGGTACTTCGGCACCTCCATTTTGGTATGAAAGGATTTCTTCAAGGTAACGCAAACGCAAACCTTACCTCCCTCCACTACGTCCACCACTCGCCACTGCAGATGTCGATCATCCCCGGATTTTTGGAAATAGCAATCTTTAAACTTAATTCTTGGATTTGTTGCTTTATGGTGTATGTCGTGTCACCATTTGACATTCTTTGCTGGAAATGATGTCGTGGCCGAGTAAGGGGGAAAGAGGTTTATTGCGTAGTTACTGCATGACCATTATACATGT